CCACAACTGCTCACAAATGAAGGGTTACCATTAAAAATGGGCATGAAGCGTTTTTCTATTGAGTGTAAAGGACAAACTCAACTCTAACAAGATGGTCTATGAATAAAGAAAAACCACAGCAAGCATGGTGGCTTACGCTTGTAATCCCAGCACTTTGGGAGGCCGAGGCAGGTGGATCACCTGAGGTCATGAGTTCGAGACCAGCCCCATCAACATGAAGAAATCCCGTCTCAGGCCGGGCGTGGTGGCTCAAGCCTGTAATCCCAGCACTTTGGGAGGCCGAGGCGGGTGGATGTGGTCAAGAGATCGAGACCATCCAGATCAACATCATGAAACCCCGTCTCTACTAAAAATACAAAATCAGCCAGGCATAGTGGTGCATGCCTGTAATCCCAGCTACTTGGGAGGCTGAGACAGGAGAATCGCTTGAACCTGGGAGACGGCAGTTGTGGTGAACCAAGATAACGCCACTGCACTCCAGCCTGGGCGACAAGAGCTAAAAACTCCACCTCAAAAGAATAAACAAAAAAACTGGAATATGATAGCCGCCCCCCCCCCCCCCAAAAAAAAACCAGCCTGGGCAACAAAGTGAAATCCCATCTCTACAAAAAATTTAAAAATTAGGTGTGGTAGCACACCTGTAGTCCTCTCTACTCAGGAGGCTGAGGTGGGAGGATCCCTTGAGCCCAGGAGAGTTCAAGGCTACAGTGAACCAAGACTGACCCACCGTACTTCAGCCTGGGTGACAGTGAGACTGTCTCAAAAAATAAAATGGTCTTTTTAAAAAAAGAAAGAAAAACCAACACTTTCATTCTCTCTCAACTCTCTCTCAGTACTTCACTTCCAACACTCAATATGCGTTTTTTCCCCACACATCAATTCTCTGGTAGGTGAATCTCAACTCTTGACTTTACCTGGTGGTTAAGGGCTCAATCCCATAAGACTGCCCTTCATTTGGACCCAATCACAAGTCCCAGGTTTGACCTGTTATTCTGACCAACCAGTTGTAAACTGGAGGTTCCCACAGCATTCCCCACCGCCCTACACCTTTGGATTCAATCATTTGTTAGAATGGCTTTGGGAAACACCTTACTTACATTTAACCATTTATTATAAAAGTACTTCTCAGAACAGCTAGATGGGAGACAGACTTGGGGCAGGGTCACGGGCTTCTGTGTCCTCTCAGGGCACACCAGCTCCACATGATCAGTAGCATGGACGCTCAGAATCCTGCAGTTCAGGGATTTTTATGGAGGCTTCATCCTATGGGTATAATCAATTGTAACTCAATCTGCAGCCTCTCTCCCCATTCCAAAGGATTTTTCTAGTGACCAGTCCCTGTCCAGGGGCCCACTGAGTCATTGCATTAGAACAGAAGCTCCTACCAGCCAGGAAATTACAGGAGACTTAAAGATCTGCGCCAGGAACCAGAGACAAACAGCAACAGTTACTTCTTATAGATCACAATATCAGTCTCCAATGCCTCCTTGGGAAGCAGAGTAGCAGAGGTACAGTGGTATATCCCGTACATGAAGACCAGGTCCCTTGGCACAGTAGGAAAGCTAGACAACCCAGCCCCAGTATGGCAAAGTAAATGCAATCCAGTCTCAATAGTAGTCAGGCCATACCTTGCTCCTGGCTCTGCTCCCAGTCTGGTACATCACTTCATGGAACTCATAACCTTCTGGGCCTCAGGTAGTCTATATATAAAATAACATTGCTTAAAGACTAACGATGGTAGCATCCAAAATATATTCAAACAAAAAAGGTCCCCACAGAGTTCTAAAAGCAGAAAGATAACGTACTTAACATTTTGAATTGACTTGCCTATAGACAAAACATTTTCATTATTCCAATAACCTTGATAAAACACCTGGAATAGACATGATTTTGAAAACATTATTCCTCCCATCCTTCTTTCTCTTAAACATGGTTTCTAGGGTAGTATGGATTACCTGTGGTAAAGCTAAAATTGTTACTACACACTATTTATGAAAGAAATGTTTCTTTTGGGCCGGGCACGGTGGCTCATGCCTGTAACCCCAGCACTTTGGGAGGCTAAGGTGGGCAAATCACGAAGTCAGGAATTCAAGGGCAGCCTGACCAACATGGAAAATACCCATCTCTACTAAAAATACAAAAATTAGCTGGGCCTGGTGGTATGCACCTGTAATCCCAGCTACTCAGGAGGCTGATGCAGGAGAATCACTTGAACCTGGGAGGTAGAGGTTGCAGTGAGCCGAGATGGTGCCATTGCACTCCAGCCTAGTGACAGAGCAAGACTCCGTCTCAAAAAATATTTCTTTTTTGTTAGTCTGTGAAAAGCTGACAATGAGAAAGCTAGGCTTTCTGGGCTGATTGAGACAGGGTCTTGCTTGTTGCTCAGGCCAGAGTGCAGTGTCATAAGAGCTCACTGTTGCCTTGAACTCATGGGTTCAAATGATCCTCCCATGACAGCATCCCAAGTAGCTAGGACTACCAGCATGCACCATATACCATTTTTTTTTTAAATGTGGAAACAAGGTCTCACCATGTTGCCCAGCCTGGTCTTAAACTCCTGTACTCAAGTAATCCTCCCATCTCAGCCTCCCAAATTGCTAGGATTATAGGTACAAACCACCACACCTAGTTTTTCTGGACTTTTTAGTGCCCAGCTAGTTATCTGGATTCAACAGCAAGAGGCCACCACTGAATAAAGGACAAGAGCCTGCTGAACTTCCTACACATGCAGAATGCACTATTTAGAGGAAGCAAGCTATTCTTATAGCCCTTTCAGTGCTCTACACTAGACAAAGACACGAGAACACCTAACAATCCCAACAAGGAGAGGGGCAGTGAGTCTAGAGGCTAGGTCTTAAGAATAAACTAAACAAGTGGGGTTTTGGCTTTTTTTGGATTTGAATTAGTATCTACTCTATAGAAGACATGATGCTAGGATGCTGCAAAAGTACCATATAGTCCTGGTCAAAAGGCACATAAAGCCTAAAAACAGATTCTAACACAAAACTTAAGAACCAAATTAGATGAGCCTATTAAATACCATGAACAGGAGCTTCAAAGACAACAGAACAGTAAAATTAGTCCAAATTAATATATGTTAAAGAAATGCACAGAAAAGGGTAAAAATACAAAAATTAGCCGGGCATAGTGGCACATGCTTATAGTCCCAGCTACTCGGGAGACTGAGGCAGGAGAATCGTGTGAACCCAGGAAGAGGTTGCAGTGAGCCGAGATAGCGCCATCGCACTCCAGCCTGGGTGACAGAGTAAGACTCCATCTCAAAAAAAACTGATTTCTTGTCAAATGTAACAGAGCTCATCTTTCAGAGAGAAATGGGTAGGCTAACAAAAATTCAGTGATGTGCCACGTAACATTTCAGTCAATGACAGGCCACATGACAGATTGAAAGACTGTTCCTTTATGCTTAGATACAAATACCATTGTGTTACAACTGCCTAGTCAGTCCAGGCCCATGCTGCACAGGTTTGTAGCCCAGGAGCAAGACTCACAGCCTAGGTGTGGAGTAGGCTATGCCTTCTAGGTTTGTGTAAATCCACTCTAGGATGTTCACATGAGAAAATCACCTCCCAATGACACACTCCTCAGAATAAACACATCCTTGTTAAGTAACACATGACTATTTTTGGCACAAGCTTTTAAATGTCTACTTTTATGAACCAAGGGTAGGCAAGTAAAATGTCCTCAGAGTCTGGGATATTAAAACACTGAGATTTTCAGCAGAACAGAAATTTCAGTCAACCAAACAGCAGGTGGGTGGGGGGAAACCACTGAGATAAACAAATTGGTTTTTTTTTTTTTGAGACAGAGTCCAGGTCTGTTGCCCAGGCTGGAGTGCAATGGCTCAATGCCTGCTCACTGCAACCTGCGCCTCCTGGGTTCAGGTGACTGTCCTGCCTCAGCCTCCCGAGTAGCTGGGATTACAGGCGCATGCCACCATACCCTGCTAATTTTTGTATTGTAGAGATGGGGTTTTGCCATATTGGCCAGGCTGGTCTGGAACTCCAGACTTCAGGTGATCCACCTGCCTGGGCCTCACGAAATGCTGGGATTACAGGAGTGAGCCACAATGCCCAGCAAATTAATATAACTTATAAGAAAATATAACAAAACAGGCCAGTTTTTGTTTCATCTGCAGCAAGATCAGACAAGAAAAAAAAAAGATTTCTGCATGGTCACTTCTGTTTTGAGACAGAATCTCACTGCTGTGCAGGCTGGAATGCAGTGGCGTGATGACGGCTCGCTGCAGCTTCAGCCTCCCAGGCTGGAGTCATCCTCCCATCTCTGCCTCTGGAGTAACCACAGCTACAGGTGCGCACCATTCACCTGGCTCAAATTTTTTTTGGGTAGAAACAGGGTCTGTGTTGTATAGGCTGGTCTCAAACTCTTGGACTCAAATGACCCTCCCACCTCAGCCTCCCAAAGTGCTGGGATTACAGGTAGGAGCCACCACGCCTGGCCCTATTTCTACTAGTTTCCCTAGATGTGTGAGCCTAACCCAGCTGTCCTCAGAGTAGGCAATAATTTATCTCATTTCCGTAATTCCACACAATTCCAAGCTTTAAACACACCCAGTAGCTTGCACCCAAATGTTTTGCTTCTATTCTCTTCCCCTTCCTTCTCATGGAACATCATCCAGCTTGGTAGAGAGAATCCAAAGCAGTGCTTCCCCACACTATGCTCTGCCAGGGTGGCAGGTGCCCAAGGGACAGCTGCCTCCAGTCTAAAGCAGCCCTAAGCATCTTCCATGTGGAGGTCAGGAAAAAGGTTGGGAACAACACATTTAAACCTCAGGAACTTCTGGACTCACAGACACCCTAGTGACAGAGAAGGGAAAATGACCACCACCATACTGGGGGAAAAAAAAAAAATCCATGACACAAAAAAGTAATCATCTAACCGCATCTGTTCAAAGTTTACAACGCAGAGAGAAGCCAATCAGTGCCTGGCTTTTTAACTATCAACCACATTGAACAAAGGTATAAAACGTAATTACTTTATTGATTTCTTACAATCAAATACTGCCAACTTGCATTATTCCCACTCTTGCATCATTTAAAACAAAGGGTATTTTCTCCTTGTTATTTTCAAATGATGCATTATACAATAAAGTTAGAACTTAAAATGCACCCTGATTAATTATGTAAACTGGTAATTTGTTTAAAAAAGCATAATAATTTGGTTCCTTTCTTCATAAAATGGAAATTTAAATATTTCTCCTGATAGTCTTGAGGTTATGAGTAGTGCAAAGTGTGGCACATATAGTTTCATCAAGAAGGGTGTGTGTCTTACACACCTTATTTAAACAAACAAAATGTGCATTAACAAAACGCACACATTCAATGCATGATAGAAAGCTTGTTTCAAATAGAAGGCAGCCCCTCGGGCCACCATATTATTTAGGTTTTGCATTATCATTTATGGCATTATAGATTAATTACGCATAACATACTTTTAAACATTTTAACCCTGAAGATAAGAAAAATAATTGTTGCTTGAAAAAAATTATTCCAGGTAGCCATTTGGTTTGTATCAGGAGAAAGTGAACCCTCCATGAGTTTAGTGTCTGCCAAGTCGGAATCATTAGCACAAGTCAGTGAATCAGATACGAGACACATTTCACAGTGACTGTTTCCCAAGTCCTGGCAATGCCTCTTCTCTCACAGTCCGCCAGATGATGAAGCATTTCCGGGATGACCCTTCTATGTGGTTTTTCCCTTTTCATTCTTTTTGCTGAATTAACTACTACTGTATTATTTCCTCTTCTCCCCTCCTCTTCTGTGGCCTTCCATTTCAATTATTCATAAATCCTTTCAGAATATCCTCAGAGAGCTCCATAAGGGGAAGTTCTGGAGATGGAAAATCCAAGGGAGGAAGATTGGGGATTGGAATGTCCTTGGCTTTCCCAGTATTTGCTGCAAACTTCTGCCAGGTTGAGGAGGCTGTGGCAGTTTCTGAATGTGGTGGCAAGCTCCATAACTCTGACGTTTCTACAAAATCAGCATCTACATCCAGCTCCTTTTCTAATGGACCTTTTAGAAGTCTGGCCATTTCAGCCTTTAGTTGTTTATTTTCTTTCCTTAATCTTTCATTCTCAGCCACAAGGAATTCCACATGCCTCTTCAAATCTGCAATTTTGGTTGCCTGCTCCTCTATAATTGTTTTATCATCTTTTGGGGCTTTGCTTCCAATACATGGCTCCACTGGCTCACTCTTTTGCTGAAGTAAATACAGTAGTGTGTCTGGATCCCTGTCAAAGATCCCCTGCATCTCAGGCAGGCGTTGCTCTGTGGAAGGGCTGTACTTCTGAGAAAGGGGGCTCTGGCCCTCTGCATCCTCTGCAGAGGGCTTGTGAGATGCCTGAAGATAGGCAGCTACATCCTTGTCTGTGTTCTGCTGGGCTTTCAATCTTTCTTCACGCTGGGCCCTTTTCCATCTCTCTTGGATGAGGAGGAGCTGTTTCATGTGGCTATCCCTTTGCAATTCCAGTGAAAGATGAGCCTATTACACATAAGGAAAGGTAAAATTTGAAGAATTTAACATTTTAAGTGTCTTAGTAATGTCCAAGATATACTACTCCAAATTCTTCCTTTCTGAATAAACCAACACTTACAACTTACATATATGTTTGCAATTGAATAAAACTTAATATTTTCCCCAATGTGCCTGACCCCATGTGTAATGTCATTTGTACTCAACTTAAAATTAGAAATCTTTCCTCTGTAGACATATTAATTCTACCAACAGCTACTAGAAAGTTTTCCTATTAACAGGGTGTTTGGATAGCTCAATACAAACCTGTATCATGAGCAGATTCTATACTTTCAAAAGCAGTGAAAGGGATAGAACACAACTTTAAAGTCCCCTTGGTTCAGTCTGAGAAACTAACGGCTTTCCCTGCCACTGATATACCTCACAGAAATGGTCTCTTTAACTGATACTTTTATAATAAAGTTTTTAAGAAGATATTTTGTATGTATTTATTTTAGAGACAAGGTCCCTGTTGCTGAGGCTTAAGTGCAATGGCACAGTCATAACTCACTTGAGCCTTGAACTTAGGTGTTCAAGTGATCCTCCCACCTCATCCTCCCAAGTAGCTAGAACTATAAGCATGTGCTACCATGCCCAGCTAATTTTTAAAATTTTTGTAGAGATGGGGGTCTCACGATGTTGCCCAGGCTAGTCTCGAACTCCTGGGCTAAGTGATCCCCCTGCCTTGGCCTCCAAAAGTACTGAGATTATAGGCATGGGCCACCATACCCAGTCTTATGAATAAATGTATCTTGAAATACTTGGCAGGTCCTCCTCAAACACAGAAGACAACTTAAAACAATTGATGAAACAAATTTAAAAGTACCTGAACTGCTTAAGAATTCAAGCAAAGATTAAAAAATAAATAAATAAGGCCAGGCATGGTGGCTCACGCCTATAATCCCAGCACTTTGGGAGGCCGAGGAGGGTGGATCACAAGGTCAAGAGATCAAGACCATCCTGGTCAACATGGTGAAACCCCGTCTCTACTAAAAATACAAAAAATTAGCTGGGCATGGTGGTGCGCGCCTGTAGTCCCAGCTACTCGGGAGGCTGAGGCAGGAGAATTGCTTGAACCCAAGAGGCGGAGGTTGTGGTGAGCCAAGATTGCGCCATTGCACTCCAGCCTGGGTAACAAGAGCAAAACTCTGTCTCAAAAAAAAAAAATAAATAAATAAAAATAAAAATAAGAATTCAAGCAAAGATTAAAAAATAAATAAATAAGGCCGGGCACGGTGGCTCATGCCTATAATCCTAGCACTTTGGGAGGTGGGTGGATCACAAAAGTCAAGAGATCAAGATCATCCTGGTCAACATGGTGAAACCCCGCCTCTACTAAAATACAAAAATTAGCTTGGCATGGTGGCACGCGCCTGTAGTCCCAGCTACTCCAGAGGCTGAGGCAGGAGAACTGCTCGAACCCAGGAGGCGGAGGTTGCGGCGAGCCAAGATTGCGCCATTGCACTCCAGCCTGGGTAATAAGAGCGAAACTCAGTCTCAAATAAATAAATAAATAAAATATAAAAAATAAAAAATTCAAGCAAAGAGAAGTGAGCGGCTGGTCAGATTTAAATTATCTTTGAAAAGCAAAGGGTAGTCCAGTTGGTTTCCTCTTGGCCAGGCCTGTTTACTGACTGTGAGCTAATGATCATGTAAGAGCTAATGATCAGGGGTCCTAAGAGGGCTCTCTAAAAGATACATCTGGGCTATCTGTGAGTAACCACTAGAAAAAAAGAAGTTTCTGCATTCTATGTCTGGGACATCGACTGCAATTCCTTTAGTTTTAATTTCCTTTCTGAAGTACTCTTCCCTTGCCCATTTTATATATTTTTGACTATAGCATTTTGAGAGGGACACAATGTTTTGCTTTATACACAATTCAAGTCTCTACAGGAAAACCTTTCTAACCCTTGTTGCAAATATTAGGAACATGTCTCACCTGCTCAGATTGTGTCAGCTTCATTGCTTCAGAAAGATACGCTGTTAAAAAAAAATAGGCACGTTAATATGTGTCATCATTTTGTAATTAACAGGTAACAGGAAGAGTTTTAATAGTCCTCATATGACAAAGAAAACCAGTCTGATAAATAATTCTGCTATAATTGGGGATTTTTTTTTTTAAAAAAGCATTCTTTCCCCAAAGGATGTCAGTGGCAATAAAATGAAAATATTCCCTACCCATTCTTGAAGGTTTTGTTATTTAAAACTCCTGTAGATTTTATAATTCAGAAACTGAAGATGGCCTAATGAGAAAAATAGGTTTATGGAAGATTAAAATCAAACAAGAACTTATTGTACTGACAAAAATATCATGAGATTATCAATGACTTTGTATCCATCTGAATATCTGGAACCTATCATTTTGGACTCCTATAGAATCACTTTTAATGAATACTGTCTCTGAGCTAGGCTATCAGCCTTAGGGTTAAAATCCCTAAGAACTTGTTGACATATTTACTGTGAGAAAGTTATTGAGGACAGTATAATGTCACTTATGAAGATCTTCAATAAACTTCTCTCTCTGATCTTAGAATCAGATCCTCGGCGACTATTTGAATTCTAAAAAAAATGCCAGAACTAATGATACATTTTGTGAACTATATTACTAGTCCTTTCCCATTTTCTCTATGGATTTCCTTACCTACATATCTCTCATTACATTTGATATTTTGTTATACATTCCTCTTTAAGACATTTTGTAACCGTTCTGGAACAAGGTTAGGTATAAATAACAAGTTCTGCATCACTAATACAGAATTGTCTATAATCAATCTCCATGTTTATCTTGCTTGCTATCAACATTTTTGGCACATCTCATCCTTACATTAAGTTCCTCTTTTGCCTTTCTGCAGATACTACAAGGCATTGCTTTCTGTCCAGTCTTGATCCAAATAATTTAGTAATTTTGATGTCATAATTAAGGAGTTCTTGCCTGCTAGGTTCTACCATAGTCCTCAAGGTAGAGATTAATTAGATCAGGGGTCCCAAACCCCCTGGCTGGTACTCGTCTGTGGCTTGTTAGGAACTGGGCCACACACACAGCAAGTTCACAGCAGGCAAGCCAGCGAAGCTTCATCTGTATTTACACTTGCTCCCATTGCTTGCATTACCGCCTGAGCTCCGCCTCCCATCAGATCAGCGGCAGCATTAGAGTCTCATAGCAGCGCAAACCCTATTGTGAACTGCACATGCTAGGGATCTAGGTTGCGTTTTCCTTATGATAATGTAATGCCTGATGATCCGTTACAGTCTCCCATCATGCCCAGATGGGACCGTCTAACTGCAGGAAAACAAGCTCAGGGCTCCTACTGATTGTACATTCTGGTGAGTTCCTCACCCCAGGTCTGCGAAAAATTGTCTTCCACAAAATTCGTCCCTGGTGGCAAAAAGGTTAGGACTGCTGGAATACATGCTCCCTCTCCAAGGAAAAAGAGAGGTGGGGCCAGGGGTGGTGGCTAGCACTTTGGGAGGTTGAGGCTGAGGCTAAAGGACTGCTTGAGCCCAGGAGTTCGAGAATAGCCTAGGTAACATAGCAAGACCCTGTATCAAGTTAAAAAGATTTAAAAAAAAGAGTTGGTTTAAAAAAAAAAAAAAAAAGAGTGGGTTATATAGTCTCTGCTCCAGTCATGCTTACCATAAATAATTACATTCGCTCCGCAACCTTTGTCTTTCATTCCTATAGTAAGTCTGTATAGCTGCATACTATTTCTTTTCCTTTTGTTCATGTTTAAATCTGTGGAGACATCCTAACTGCTCTGCTCATATTCCAATACATTGTTGACAAATGTTCTCAGACACCCCTTCCAACTTGCCTGCATTTGTCTCCCTGTTTGCTTTAAATCCACTTTCTTAACAAAGGGAACAGATTTCACAAAACCAAGCTTAAGCCAACTGAAGTGCCTCCCTTTGTAGAACCTTGAATATATGACAGGCTGGGTGCAGTGGCTCACGCCTGTAATCTCAGCACTTTGGGAGGCCAAGTCAAGTGGATCATGAGGTCAGCCTGAAATCCCATCTCCACTAAAAAAAATACAAACAAATTATTTGGGTGTGGTGGCATGTGCCTGTAACCCCAGCTACTCAGGAGGCTGAGGCAGGAGAATCGCTTGAACCTGGGAGATGGAGGCTGCAGTGAGCCAGGGAGATCACACCACTGCACTCCAGCCTGGGTGACAGTGCAAGACTCTGTCTCAAAAAAAAAAAAAAAAACATCTATTGCTCTTCTATCAGGAAATCTGTTAAACCAGTATCAAAGCACACAGGTGCAGCAATATAATGCCTCTGAATGATAAGGACTGATCAGATCTAGAATCATTTTCATGTTACTGCAGTTTCAAAAGGCTTAACATTTGTTTTCAACCAAAGTATTGATCAAATCCATATAAATACTGTGACTCTGGGGCCTGCTCATCTTCTGAAATGTTCATTTTGAGTTCTAAGCACTGTCAATGGCTATTAACTTACTTAGGCTTTTGCTCTTTTGATGTGTATGAACGAAGAGAAATTCACTTAGGGAACTGGACTGCATGAGAAGGGTTAAGAGAAAATTACACCAATCAAGTTACCGCCACTAATCAAGGGTTTAAAGCAACACATTTTTCCAACAATGTTGAATCTCTGGGAGTCTGTGGTTTTCTGTTTTGTTTTGTTTTTTTGTTTTAGGATGGAGTTTCACTGTTGTTACCCAGAATTGAGTGCAATGGCACAATCTCGGCTCACCGCAACCTCCACCTTCCCTGTTCAAGCAATCCTCCTGCCTCAGCCTCCCGAGTAGCTGGGACTACAGGCGTGCACCACCCAGCTAATTTTTGTATTTTTAGTAGAGATGGGGTTTCACCCTGTTGACCAGGATGGTCTCAGATCTCTTGACCTCGTGGATCCACCCACCTCGGCCTCCCAAAGTGCTGGGATTATAGGTGTGAGCCATCACGCCTGGCCGTCTTCTTAAACTTACCTTTTTAAACATGGAATAGGAAAATGAAGACACCTTCCCTTCCCCACCTCCTGCCAGATTTAGATAGTTTTTTTCCTTCCTGATGTGCTTATGTGGCATGAATGCTCACATGCCCAGTTTCAATTCAGCCACTGTCCACCTAAAGAGTAAATGCTACCTTTCTTTAAAAGGAAAGAGACATCAAGCAACTTATTTCAACACATTTATAATACAAACACTACAAGAGGCCATAAAGTCCTTAGCTATGTAATCTTAGGGTAAGTTTTTAGTCTCAGAATCTTCTCTGATCTTTGACAGCTGGACACACAGGCCCTCCACCCCCTGCCCTGTTTGCCTTTAAATTCTCTCACTTCAGCCTTTCCATCTTATTAGTCTTTCTCAGATGTTGATCTTTCCTTCTCACATCTCTAAAATGATTTCCAAATAAGTTGCTTCCTTTCAGAATAGACCTATATCCATACCTTCTAAGATCAGTTATAAGCCCTAGATGTAAGTCAGTTTCAAAAAGTGAGCTCATTTCGACCACATCAATTTTCAACTCAGACATTCTAAAACATAACACATGTTGAAACCCCCAATCAACTCAGTGAGATTTACTAATCACATTAAGTTCTACCTCCATAATTGAAGCTAATGTGATCTAAAAGACTGCCTTATTTTTCTACTCCTGAGAATGTCACAGAATTGAGACTGGGGGTGGGAGAGGTACCTGAAGGCCAACATTACTTTTAAATCTTCAAAGACAAGGATTAGGTTAGGACTAAAACTTTCTTCCCTTTATATACTCATAACATCCCATAGCTCAGTCCATAAAATATGCTGATTTACTCCACTTAACATAGTTATATATATGTAACCATGACCATTTTGGGTTACATAAGGTATTGTTTCACTGAGGCATTCATGTAAAACATGACTTTCTTAAATAAACATGGTACATCGTCTTTGTATTGATTACAGATTTAATCATCTGACTCATACCAAAATATGGTTTAGGGAAGATTTAAAGAGCACTAGTTGACATATTTAATGCTGTTCAAAGCTCACTATAAAAACACCCAAAGATTTATGGGATATCTGCTTTGTGCTTGGCCCTGGGGCAGACACCTCCAGTACAGTGGCAAAACTATTTCTATTTAAAAAAAAAAGGGGGGGGGGTGGCGGGTGCAGTGGCTCACGTCTGTAATCCCAGCACTTTGGGAGGCCAAGGTGGGTGGATGGATCACAAGGTCAGGAATTCAAGACCAGTCTGGCCAAGATAGTGAAACCCCATCTCTACTAAAAATACAAAAATTAGCCAGGTGTGGTGGTGGGCACCTGTAGTCCCAGCTACTCAGGAGGTTGAGGCAGGAGAACCACTCAAACCCAGGGAGGTGGAGGTTGCAGTGAACCCTGACTGTACCACTGCACTCCAGCCTGGGCGACAAAGCAAGATTCTGTCTCAAAAAAACAAAAACAAAAACCCACACACTTAAAATTTTCTTTGAAAATTACCAACTTCTAGGCAAAAGTCACTGTAGTAAGAAGGCTTATCCAAACTACTGCCCACCGTGCGGTCTGTATTTCAGCAGTAAATACATTGGGGCAGCCTCTGTCACAAAATATGGCCCTGCCTGCCAGCAGACTTCAGGGTTTGCCCTAAGATAGGTGACCAGCACATATGCCCTAAGTGCATGCAAAAAAAAAAAAAAGAAAAAGAAAAGAAAAAAGAAAGGTGACCTGCACTAATTTCGAATGCAGCATGAGTAAAACATCCTTTCCCCAAAGATTTTTAAATTTTTATTTTTATACTTACCACTACACTAACAAGGACCCAAAGCTTTTTGGTTACTCAGCCAACAGAAACTGGTCTAAGCAAAACAGGCCCCCAAGATCTATTTCTGAGTTCAACATATGCTAGGTTGCTTGACTGACTAGGGTAAAATTAGGTCTTTGATAAGAAGCCAACAATTCTAAAATTCATACCAAAATGAAAGCTATCATCAGCATGTTACTATAAGCATGCATGTAGAGATGATATATTCAGTTACTGAGAGTCCTCATAAAAAAAAAAAAAAAGAGATTATATATTCAGAAGGAAAGCTAAAAGGACGACAGGAAAAATCTTCCCACATTTTAGGTAACAAAAGTCTTTAGGAAGTTTTGCATTATCAGCATGTTAGAAAACAGAAACTCAGTGAAAATGAATTGGTTAGTATTGAATTACTAATTATTTTTAGAACCTAAAATGGCCAACTATCTGAAACCCAAACTTCTTTTTTACAATAACTAAGATAAAATGGCAGACCTGTTAGAATCAGCTCCTGTTTTAGGGATCTTTGGGATCAGAAAGCTGTGTCCAGGAATTGCTTACCATTTATCACATTTATGCCATCTTCATGGTTTAGAAAGAAGATTGGATTAGGAGGAGCTGGGAAATCCAACATACTCAATTGAAAAATAACCAAGGCTGATATTCTGGTGGGTCAGCAGTATCAGTCTTGCATATGAAGACCAACACACACCATTACTATTATGACTGTCTGCTCTTCAGTTTTTGTGTGTTTTTTTTTTTGTTTTTGCTCTTCAGTTTTATACTGAGCACTTAACAAGAATACTCACCCGCAGCCTTTTTGTGACAAGAAATAGCCTCTTCGTATTTGCCTGCAGCTAATAAACGGTCTGCTCGTCTGCTCTGTTGATGAGCCTAGAAGACAAACATCCCTTAGTTCCTCTAGATCACAAAACATGATGTCTTGTCAAAAGCAACTACCTTTTAAGAAGATAAAAATACTGTTTGTTGGACATATCAAACCCTTATTACAGCTCTATCTGTAGTTGGATAAATGTAATGGGTAGAGCCTAGAACTGCAGCACCTGAAAGGAACTGGCAACTTCTTTGAGTTCTACCAATAAGTCCTCTCAAGGTTAACACCAGGCACTTAACTCCTTCAGCGACGCACCTTCTTACACTCTTTGGAGATTAACCAAAAGTTACATAGATTGTTATTCAAAATGTCTACTTTCTTGATTTTTAACAAGCTCCTTTCAAAACAAGAGCTATTTTGTAGATACTTTCAGTAGTCTGTATAGTTAAAAAAAACTATAATCAGGAAATCACTCATCATGTAGTAAAACCAAGCTTCTCTTGTAACATCTCATTCTTCCAACATTAAAGTTACTATTTTTTTTTTAAATAAAAAATTTGGACATTGTATAGTAAACGTATTCACAATACCAACATCTAATATTACAAAGATTTTTTTAAAGATATAACTCATCAAAAGAAAAAAGTCAAAAAAATCCGAAGTTCTAACAGCAAATAATGTAACTGCTCTTGAATTGCACAGGAAAATTGATTAAATAAGCAGTCACTGGCCTCCTTACACTTTAAGAATTTCAAAAAAGCTTTAAAGCTAGGCCCAGTGGCTCAAGCCTGTAATCCCAGCACTTTGGGAGGCTAAGGCAGGCAAATTACCTGAGGTCAGAAGTTTAAGACAAGCTGAGCCAACATGGTGAAACCCCATCTCTACTAAAAATACAAAAATTAGCCAGGCATAATGGTGGATGCCTGTAATCCCAGCTACTTAGGAGGCTGAGACAGCAGAACTGCTTGAACCTGGGAGGCAGAGGTTGCAGGGAGGCAAGATGGCTCCATTGCTCTCCAGTTTGGGTGACAAGAGCAAAACTCCATCTCAAAAAAAGAGAGAGCTTTAATATACATTATTTCAGCTGCTTTAATTATGACTTTGTGAATGCTTTTTCCTCTCTTACATAAGGAGGCCCAAGACTGGTGGGGGTTATGTAACTTCCATTAAGCTTATACATTTAACCAGCAAGGAAAAAAGCAGAGATAAGTTTTCTACTTCATGTAACATTTTCCTCAATAACAAACTCATACATGATTTAGCAAAGCTTCACAGCTTCGCAAAAAACTGGAAAGCACTGTACACCCATGTTCATAACAGCATTATTCACAACAGCCAAAAGGTGGAAGCAATCCACATGTCACCAACACATGGATGGATAAATGCAGTCAGTATATACACACAGGAATATTACTGTCTTTAAAAGGAAGGTAATTCTGATACTACAACATGGATGAACTGTGAGGACATGAGACTGAATAAACTAACCCAATGATAAAAGGACAAATACTATACAAATCGATTTACTGGGGTATCTAAAATAGTCAAACTCATAAAAACAATAAAGTTGAATGGTGGAACAACTCATCATTGAATAGGGGTGGGAGAAATGGGGGGTAGGTATTCAAATGGTAGTTTCAGTTTTTCAAGATGAAAAAATTCTTGAGATTTGTTGTACAACAATGTGAATATACTTAACGCTACTAAACTGTTCACTTAAAAATAGTTAAGAGGGTAAACTTTACATATATATACTTTTTAATATTATTTTAAAAAGGTGAAAGGTGGGCCAGGCATGGTGGCTCACGCCTGTAATCCCAGCACTTTGGGAGGCTGAGGCAGGCAGATCACCTGAGGTCCAGAGTTTGAAACCAGCCTGATGAACATGGAGAAACCCTGTCTTTAAAAAAAAAAAAAAAAAAAAAAAAGGTGAAAAGTGGCTGGGCGCAGTGGCTCATGCCAGTAATTTCAGCACTTTAGGAGGCTGAGGCAGGCAGATAGATAGCTTGAGCTCAGGAGTCTGAGACCAGCCTGGGCAATACAGTGAAAACCCATCTCTACAAAAAATACAAAAATTAGCCGGGTGTGGCACTCATGCCTGTAGTCCCAGCTACTCAGGAGACTGAGGTGAAAGGATCACTTGAGCATGGGAAATGGAGGCTGCACTGAGCTGTGATCGCATCACTGCACTCCGGCCTGCTGGGTAACAGAGATCGTCTCAAAAAAAAAAAATAAATAAAAAATAAAAAAAATAAAAAAAATAAAAAAAATAAAAAAATTGGGTCTGGTGGCTCATGCCCGTAATCCCAGCACTTGGGGAGGCCAAGGCAGGTGGGGGTGGATCACCCAAGGTCAGGAATTTGCAACCAGCCTGGCCAACATGGTGAAACCCCGTCCCTATAAAAATACAAAAATTGGCTGGGTGTGGTGGCTCACGCCTGTAATCCAAGCACTTTGGAGGCCAAGGCAGGAGGATCACCTGAGGTGGGGAGTTCAAGACCAGCCTGACCAACATGGTGAAACCCCGTCTTTTAAAAAAAAAAAAAAAAAAATTAGCCAGGAATGATGATGATGGGTGCCTGTAATCCCAGATACTCAGGAGGCTGTGGTGGGAGAATTGCTTGAACCCAGGAGGCAGGCAGAGGTTGCAGTTAGTCGAGATCGCATTATTATACTCCAGCCTGGGCAACAGAGTGAGGCTTCATCTCAAAAAAAAAAAAAAAAAAAAAAAAAAGTGAAAAGCTTATCTGTTCTGGCTGGGCGTAGTGGCTCACGCCTATAATCCCAGCACTTTTTGGGAGGCCAACGCGGGTGGATCACGAGGTGAAGAGATCGAGACCATCCTGGTCAAAAAGGTGAAACCCCATCTCTACTAAAAATACAAAAATTAGCTGGGCATGGTGGTGCACGCCTGTAGTACCAGCTACTTGGGAGGCTGAGGCAGGAGAATTGCTTGAACCCAGGAGGAGGAGGTTGCGGTGAGCCGAGATCGTGCCATTGCACTCCAGTCTGGGTAACAACAGTGAAACTCCGTCTCAAAAAAAAGAAAAAAGAAAAGCTTATCTGTTCTGTCAGCTGAAAAATGATTTGTCTTGGATGCTTTTTAAACACATGTTCCTTTTACGCTGTATAAATATACTTCACAGAATCACTTTTGCAATTCAGATTATAAATATTCTGGATATGTCTGCAAATCATACTCAGTATAAAACACAGGTGAAGACAAAATAGAAAACAGCACTTCCAGCAATGCACTGCTGTGAGCCACTTCTATTTCTGTAAAAAACAAGCAACAATCTTAAAGATAAGATTTGTCCCTTTCAATTAGAGGATTTCAGAGACTTTATATTTTTCAAATACTAATTAAACTTTTCTCTAAGTCTTAACATATTCCTGGGAACAATAATAGGTTACAAGAAATGAGGTTACTTCATTCTAACACTGTTTTCTATCTGTGTGTTCACACAGATAGAAAATTAGCTGGGCATGGTGGCACGTGCCTGTAATCCCAGCTACTCAGGAGGCTGAGGCAGGATGAGTTCAATCACTTTCTACCTTATGCTATGGATATTGATGGAGCTCCATAATTAAACTTCAAACTCTGTGATGACAGAATTGTTAACTGAATACCAGAAGAATAAAAAGTTTTCAAACAGTGAGAGCAAGTCCTCATGGCTCTTCAACTCCCTTAAAATGTAGAGTCCAATCTCTAATCAGTCTGCCAATTTAGGAGTTAAATCTCACTATAGTTTCAGATTATTACTAAGCTCAATAAAAACACACATCTCCTTCTAGATCACTTACAGTATCTTTCCTAAAAAAGAAAAAAAAAAAAGGCCGGGCGCAGTGGCTCAAGCCTGTAATCCCAGCACTTTGGGAGGCCGAGGCGGGTGGATCACGAGGTCGAGAGATTGAGACCCTCCTGGTCAACATGGTGAAACCCCGTCTCTACTAAAAATACAAAAAATTAGCTGGGCATGGTGGCACGTGCCTGTAATCCCAGCTACTCAGGAGGCTGAGGCAGGAGAATTGCCTGAACCCAGAAGGCTGAGGTTGCGGTGAGCCAAGATTGCGCCATTGCACTCCAGCCTGGGTAACAAGAGCAAAACTCCAATTCAAAAAAAAAAAAAAAAAAAAAGAGGCTGGGCGCGGTGGCTCATGCCTATAATCCCAGCACTTTGGGAGGCCGAGGCGGGTGGATCACAAGGTCAAGAGATCGAGACCATCCTGGTCAACATGGTGAAACCCAGTCTCTACTAAAAATACAAAAATTAGCTGGGCATGGTGGTGCACGCCTGTAGTTCCAGCTACTCGGGAGGCTGAGGCAGGAGAATTGCTTGAACCCAGAAGACGGAGGTTGTGGTGAGCCGAGATCGCGCCATTGCACTCCAGTCTGGGTAACAGCAGCAAAACTCCATCTCAAAAAAAAAGAAAGAAAGAAAAAAAAAAAACCCACACATCTCCTCTAGGTTATTTGGCACCAGAACAATCAAATGCCATATTTTTTTAAAAGGACAGTTCCCACTACCTTCTTATTAGACACACAGCAAATGCAGCCTCTTGATAGAGCTCGACTGTCAATGTTCAAATCTCAGTTTGACTATATGAGACACATGAACCCGGCTTTCCCAACTATCTGCCTCAGTTGTCTCATCTCTAAAATGAGAGTTGTTGTCTGCTTATGTAAATTTAATGGCACCAAAAACAAGAGTTAAAATTGAACTAGTTGAAACGTCACAGCGCTTAGAATAGTGCCTGGTTCTGGTACATACTTGATATATCCCTCATTAAGTACTATGAAAGCCAATAGAAGTAATGGAAGTACCTGCTATCAAGAAGTTGACAATATAGTTAGGTCTGGACTACATGCATTAAAAAAATTTTTCATCTTAATTATTTGGGACAGGGTCTTGCTCTGTTGCCCAGGCTGGAGTGGAGTAGTGCAATCACAGCTCACCACAGCCTCAATATCCTGGGCTCCAGGATATTGGCCAGGCTGGTCTCAAAACTCCTGATCTTGTGATCCGCCTGCCTCGACCTCCCAAGTGCTGGGATTATA